GGCGCTGGCCCCCGGCCGCGAGGCAGGGCTGGCGCGGGAGGCCGGGAACAGGAAGGTCCCAGCGTCATCCCATTCCCCCGGCCCTGCTGCCGGCTCGCAGGGAGCCGGATGCTTTTCCGCTGGGCTCTCTGCAAGCGGAGAGGTGGGAAAAGTGGGGGCAGGGGGGGAGAAGGAGCGGGAGGTTGTTCCTGACTCTATCGCATCCCACCGGGACCCCCAGATCCGCCTGGATGGAGCTCAGGGCCATGGAAATAGAACAGGGAGGATCCTGTGCATTGTGACAGTGGGAATTCCTGCTTTGGAGAGGCAGGGAAGTATCTCGAGCGGGTTTAGATGCTGGGAGGTGAAATTTGGGTGGGGAGCAGGGGGAAGCAAAGGGAGCCCCCCCTGCCACCGCCTGCTCCTGTTTAACGGATCTGCGCCGGGATCGCCCGCGATTCCCGGCTGTGGTTCCGCAGGCGGCTCCATGTGCCCTGGGGCGGCGGGCGGGGCGGCGCGTGCCGCCCAACCGCATATTAGCCCTCCGAGAAGCCACTGCGCTGGAGGGGAAAGAAACATTTTTTGGGGTTTTTTGGGGGGCAAAAACCCCACCCGGCAGCGGGGAAATGTCCCCGCGCTCCCCGTGCAGCGCCGGGTGCCGAAAGGCCCCTCGGCTCCATGGAGGCTGCAGCCGTGGGGCCGGGGTGACGGTGACGGCGCCGGGGACGCCTCGGACACCGGCCTTCCCGCCAGCTCTGGGCCATCCCTGGTGCCCCCGGATCCTGCCGTGGTGCCGGGCAGCGCGAGCGGGCCGGGCGACAGCCACGGACACCGGCTCCGCGGAGCCCTCTCCAGCTCCCTCCTCATCCATCCTTTTTCCAGACCCTCTATGCCTTCTCCATCCCTCATCCGTCTCCTCTACCCCTTCTCCATCCCCTCCATCCCTTCCCCATCCCATCTCCATCCTCTCCATCCCTTCCTCATCTCCTCCATCACTTCTCCAATTCCCTACTTTGTTCCATCCCCTGCTTTCCTTTTCCATCTCCATCCCTTCCCCACGCACTCTTCATCCCTTCTCCATCCTCTCCATCCCTCTTCAATCCCTCTTACATGTCTTCCTCATCCCTTATCCATCCCCACCGCCCCTCCCCTGTCCCAGCTCCAGGATGGGGACAGCACTGGGACATCTGCGCCCTCCTCCCAAACTCAGGCTTAATTCCCAGCTCAGCCTGCCCTGTCCCTTCCCAGGACAAGGGCCCAGTGCCAGGGGGCAGGACACTCATGGAGCATCGTCCAGGTGGGAACAGAGGGGCAACATCCGCGCAGAGTGCCTGGATTCCCCCTCCAGAAGGTGGGAATGGGTGTCCCTGCATCCTGGGATCGGGGTGTCCCTGTGTCCCGGGAGCAGGGTGTCCCCACACTGTGAGAATGGGGCGTCCGCGTGCCCTGGAATGGGGACATCCCTGCACACTGGGATCAGGGTGTCCCTGCACCATGGGAATGGGGCATCCCTGCACCCCAGGCTCAGGGTATCCCTGCATCCCTGCACCATGGGAATAGGGCAGCGCTGCCTCCCAGGCTCAGGACATCCTTGCATCCCTGCACCATGGGAATGAGGCGTCCCTTCACCCCAGGCTTAGGACATCCCTGCATCCCTGCACCATGGGAATGTGGCAGCGCTGCCTCCCAGGCTCAGGGCATTCCCACATCCCCGGCCCGGGGCTGTCCGGTGGGATGCAGCACACGGGGCGGGGGGACCCACCGGAAAGGCTCCGCAGCCCCGCGAGCCGAGGGGACAGCGCTCCTGGACGAGGCTGTTCCTGGGGTGTGGATGGGGGGACCCTCTTTTCACGCCCCCTCCCCCCCCATAATAGCCACCCTCTGCCAGGTGTTTGCAGCTGGATGGAGCTGGGGGGTGAAGAGGGGGGTCTTTGAACCCCTGGAAACACCTTGACCTACACCGGGTGTTTGCAGCTGTAGGGGAGCCTTCAAGGTCCCCCCTCCTGCCCCCTGGAAGCCGCTGTATCCAACATGGAATGGGAAGGGTCGACCCTGCCAGGATGGCCCCTCCCGGGGTACAGGCGGCGCCTCTGGCTGCGTACAGCCGACAACAGGGAGCTCAGTGGTGGCGGCATGGCCGCCTGTTGAGCTGCCCCGACTGCGAGCTGCTGCTGTTAGCCAGCGGTGGTGTCACCCAGCACCCTGCGCGGTGATTCCTGTTGTCACCAGCGTTGGGGGAGTGTTCCAAGTCCTGTCGACGCACTATAGGACTGGACTGAGCTGTTGCCACATCAGGGTGTTGGGTCACCCTAACAGACCGTAGTGTCACCCCACCCAGGTGACAGGGTACCCCCCAAGCTGGGCTGTCACTGTGTCACACTGTTGGGTCACCCACGGGGCTGGGCTGTCACCAATCAGGCTGCTAGGTCCCCACGTGGAAAGGGGTTGTCACTGTGTCAGGATGTCAGGTCACCCTGTATGACTGTATCCTGTCACCCAGCACGATTGTGACCTGTCACAGCGACACCCCATCAGCCAGCAGCACGGCAATGGTGTCCCGTCACCAGGTGAGGTGACGTCCAGGTGTCACCCCTCAGAGCCTCTTGTCACCCGTTGTGGTGACACCTGGGGTGCTCGTTGCCATGGCGACACCGCGGTGCGCCCTAGGGTCAGTTGTGCTGTGCCAGGCCGCGTTGCCATGGCGACGCCGGGAGCCGGGCTCGCTGGATTAGTGGCGCGCCAGGGCCGGGGCGGGGCTTGTGGTACGAGCCGCAATGGCGATTGGAGGAGAGCACGGTGAGAGGCGACGCTCTTTAAACAGCAAAGGCGAGGATTGGAGGAGCGCAAGCTGTGGGTGCGGGCCTGAGTCGAGAGAAGAAGAGCCGATTGGCCTAGAGCCAGAAGGAGGGCAGCGATTGGAGGAGAAGCGGGCGGGGCGGGCGGGGCCGAGCGGGGTTGGCGTCGCGGATGGTGCTGCGCATGCGCTGCCCCGCTTCCGGCTTCGTGCCTTTCCCCTTCCGGGTGGCGGCGCCGGTGGGTGTCGGGGGCTGTTGAGCGGCGGCGCTCGGTGAGCGCGGCCCTTGCGGCGCCTCGGGGGGCCCCGCGGGGCTGCCCCGCCGTGGGGGCGATTCCCCGGCCCCTCCCGGTTCGGGAGGGAGTCGTGTAGGGCTGGGGCCTAACCGGGCGGGCTGGGCCCGCTTGAGGGGGAAGTCGTGCGGCCTTGAGGCCCTGGGATGGAGGGGGGGCTCTCGTGCGGACCCGGCTCCAGCAGCGGGATGGGGAAGCGCTGGGATGCCGGGGGTGGGGGAAGCCCTTGGGAAGCGCTGGGATGCCGGGGGTGGGGGAGCCGGGCCCTGGCGCGGCGCGGGGGGCTCTCGGGCCCGCGGCGGTGCTCACCGGTGCGCGCAGGCCGCCCGCCCGCGCCATGTGGTACGTCATGCAGAGCGTGCAGAGCAAGTACTCGCTGTCCGAGCGCCTCATCCGCACCATCGCCGCCATCCGCTCCTTCCCGCACGACAACGTCGAGGACCTCATCGGCCGGGTGAGGCGGGACCCCCGCGCCCCGGAGGCCCCTCTGCTTTCCACCTCCTGCTCCCGTCTCCCGCCTCGGAGCCGGGGCCGCCGCTTGCACTAAACACCCGCGGCTCGGCGGTTGTTTGAGGTTGCAGTGTGATTTGCCCGAGGGAGGGGGCCTGGGAGCCCCTTGTCCTTCAGGATTTCAGTCGGAGAGTCCTGCTTAATCCTGACTGATCCAGGCAGCTGCTGAGCTATTTTGGGTCAGCTTTATCCATAGATGATGCTGGGAAGGAGATGGAGCTGTCCCTTTGCCCCTGCCTGCAGGCAGTGGAATTTTTGGCGGGGAGGTTTAATTAAATCAAGGCATTTTTAGCTCTAGGCCAGCAGGGAAGGAGCAGCTGTAGCCGGTTCTGCTTTGCGGGGACGTCGGCCTGGCTCTGAGCCCGCTGTGGCCACGAGCACCTGGGGGGCGTCCGTGCGGCGCCGGCGCCCGCCCGCTTCCCAGCGGAGCCCGAGGCCCTGGGGCTCAAAGCAGCGGGAAGGGGAAGGGGCCGGGAACGGGCGGGTTCGCTCAGCTCCGCCGCTGGGTTCCCGTCTCCGTGCAGGGAGCAGACGTGAACTGCATGCATGGCACGCTGAAACCGCTGCACTGCGCCTGTATGGTGGCTGACGCCGACTGTGTGGAGCTGCTGCTGCAGAAGGGAGCCGAGGTAACAGCCCCGTGGTCGTTTCCGTGTTTGGGTTCGAGGTTCCCTGGGGCAGGGAGGCGGTTTTGTGGCAAAAGCCTAAAGGGAAGAATTAAAAAGCTGTAGGTTTCCTGCCTGATTTGGGGCACTTGAATTAAAAAGCTGTACGTTTCGTGCCTGATTTGGGGCACTTCCCCGTGGCAGCAGGCACACGGTACAGCCCTCGTGCCTCGCTTTCCCGTTCTGCGTTGGAGATGAGTTGGGACTAGGGATGTAGGGGGTTGTATGGGGCTGGCGAAGCTTTCCCTGCCGCCGGTGCTGGGAGCATTTGGGAAGGGCCTTCGGCAGCGGCTTCGCCCTCATCCTGCCTCCTCGCTGCAGGTGAACGCCCTGGACGGCTACAACCGGACCGCGCTGCACTACGCAGCAGAGAAGGACGAGACGTGTGTGGAGATCCTGCTGGAATACGGCGCCGACCCCAACGCGCTGGACGGCAACAAGGACACGCCGCTGCACTGGGCCGCCTTCAAGAACAACGCGGAGTGCGCGCGGGCGCTGCTGGAGAGCGGCGCGCGGGTCGACGCGCGCGACTACAACGACGACACGCCGCTCAGCTGGGCCGCCATGAAGGGCAACCTGGAGAGCGTGAGCGTCCTGCTCGACTTCGGCGCCGAGGTGCGCGTGGTCAACCTCAAAGGGCAGACGCCCATCTCGCGCCTCGTGGCGCTGCTCGGCCGGGGCCTGGGCACGGAGCGTGAGGATTCCTGCTTCGACCTGCTGCACCGGGCCGCCGGGCACGTGGAGCTGCGCAGGAACGGCCGCCTGCCCCGCGAGGTGACGCGGGACCAGCAGCTCTGCGAGAAGCTCACGCTGCTGTGCTCCGCGCCGGGCACGCTCAAGACGCTGTCGCGCTGCGCCGTGCGCCGCAGCCTGGGCGTGCGCTTCCTGCCCGAGGCCGTGAAGGCGCTGCCGCTGCCCGCCTCCCTGCAGGAATACGTGCTGCTCCTCAGCTAAGCGAGAGCGGACGCTCCGGGCGCCGCCTCGCGTCGTTCCGCGCTTGGCTTACGACCCCCTTCCGCCCCGCTCCGTGCGGGGTGCCGAGAGCAACCCGAGGATCCGCTCGCTTTGGGCCTCGCACAGGCTGCATCCCCTCCTGGGCTGCTCGCCCGCCTGGGATTCCTCCTGCTCGGATCCGGGGTGGGGGAGTGCCATGCTCCGGTGCTTGGCTCCTCCCGAGCTCTCTCCCTTTGCTTTGAGCTGCATCCTCCCCAGACAACCCGCCCATATTGGATCCCGGATCCTCCTTTGCTCCAGGCAAGAGGTTGGGAGGAGGTGCTGCAGTGACCTGTTGGCGGGAAGCGCAGGGAAAAGCACATCCCGAGTCCGCGTATCGGCTCCACCTGAACGGAGCGCCACGAGCACAGGCTTCCTTTCAACATGTGGGAAGGTCTTTCCTCCTCTTCCCTCTAGTTTTTAAGACTTTCCCGGCTTTTTCAAGGGGAAAAGTGGGGAACAGAGGGCTCGGCAAACCAAGCGTGATCCCCGGGGCCGCTGAGGGAAGCGTCGGGATAAAGGTGCGAGTTGGTCGAGCAGGGACATGCGCTCGGAGCGAGGCGCTGTGGCTGCTGACTCCTTCCTCCACTTGCCCCTTCGGATTTGCACCGTCCACTGCCCGTCTTGTCGTTTTTATTTATGTATCCACGTGTATTTTGGAAGGAATCATGCAAAAGCAGCCCGTCCGCAGGGAAGCTGAGCGGGAATGCCGCAGGAAGTGCCCTCCCTCCCCTCAGCAGGTCCCGCGCCCGAAGGGAACGTTCCCAGCAGCCGGGGAGGGCGGAGGCTCCGAAAGAAGGACAGGGAGGCCGTGCGGAAGCGCCCGCGGAGCCGCCGCGGCGTCTCGCGTGTCTGCATCCCACGTTCACGGAAATAAAAGGCCTCCGGCGAGCCGGGCGCAGGGTCCTGCTCTGGCTGGCTCTGCCTTTCGCGTGAGTTTTGCCTCTAATCCCGCTCTTTTTGCCCCTTCCTTCTCCCTGCTTTGATCTGCCAGGCTTGGCTTCTCCTTGGCCACCTTGGCAGCCTCATCCTAGCCTCACGTGACGTCCCTGGGGGGAGACCCCTCCCTGTGTGCTGGGGCGGTGGCAGGAGCCACCCTGGTGGCACCTGCCTGGTTCCGATGCCTTTGGGATGCCCCAAGGCCCCGCACAGCTTCATGCCCTGTTAGAGCTGCCCTGCTGGGGGCAGAGCAGGGGGATCTGAGTTGTTTTATGGGAGAAATCTGGGGGAGGAAACAAGATTTTTCCTCTCCGTGCTGAGAAACGTGCACTGGGCTCCCGTTGAATGCAGCCATCATCCGCTGGTGGGCGAACATCAGACGTTTGAGCGCTGTTGGTGTTGCAACCACGGCTGAGTGGTGCCAATTTATTGAAGCGTCTTATTTATGCCTTTAAGCCAAGGAGACCTCCTAGTAACTCTACCCAGACTGCTTGCTCTCAGCTCCGCGCCACGTGCTGCCCTGCAACGAGCTGCTTGGGAGACGCGTTTCCGTCGGGCTCCCCCGTCACGCAGCTATCCACGGGCCTTGCGAAAGCCCCCGAGGGGAGTGGCGGCCTCGGGAACGTGCCCTGGCACCGGCAGGGGAGCCGCAACCGGGAGCGGTTTCTTTGGAGGCTCCCGGAGCGGAGGGGTCGGGGGCAGCTGGGGGTCTCGTTAGATGTGGGACTCCAGTGAGACCCTCTTGCGCGTCACGTGCTCCAGGTGGGCTTTCTCCGACGTGTCCAGCTCGATGCTGTACTTGGCCAGGATCTTCAGGATGGGCCGCAGCTTCAGCCACCACTGCTCCTTAGGGATGCGGTGCCTGGAGGATGGGTGGCACTGAGGACCCCGTGCCAGCCAGGACGGGGGCTCCGACGCTTCCCACCCTCGGGAAAACCCCATCTGGGCACCAGCCGGGCGGGTTCCCAGCCCTGCTCCGCGCCCCGTCCCAAGGGGCCCGCGGCACCTACACGAAATCCGTCTGCTCCTTGAGCTCAGTGAGGGGCTGGAAGACGAGGCTGCGCTTGCGCATGCCCAGCAGGCAGGCCGAGTCGGCCGTGTTGGCGAAGATGCGACCTACGAGGGGAGGCCGCCGGCGCTCAGCGCTCCCTTCCCGCGGAAGCGCCAGTGCCGGAGGGGCCGTTTTGTGTCTCCTGCCGCGGGACCTACCGTGCCTGGAGCACTCCTTGATCTTCCCGGTGATCCAGGCCACGGACTTGGCGCCCATTTTGGTGCCGAAGTTCCTGTCGAAGGGGGTCGGCGTGCCGCCCTGCGCGGGGAAAAGCAGCGGGCGCGTGGAGGGAGCCGTGGGCTCCGTGCCAGAGCCGCCGCGGGGGCCTCGGCGCCACCGCGGGTCCCCACCTGCTGCATGTGGCCCAGCACGTTCTTCCTGCAGTCGAAGATGCCCTTGCCCTCCTCGGAGTAGAGGTTGTAGATGAAGTCGGTGGTGTAGTTCTCGTTGCAGTGCTCGTTCCTGTGGGGGCAGCGTGCTCGGACTCGGCCCGCGCGGCGCCGCAGAGGCCCGGCCTCCCCGCGGCCCCGCACTGCCCTCACCTCAGCACCAGGCCTCTCTTCACCGTCGTCTTCATCTTCTGCGTCAAATGCTCCACGTTCATCTGCGGGAAAAGAGGCGACAGGGAGGTCAGGGCCTCTCCTTGGAAATGCAGTGGGGATGCACGAGGCCTCCCAAGGGTCGCTTGGCCCTCGGCCTCCCCACCTGCAGGTCACGGATGCTGAAATGCTCCTCGAAGATGTAGGCGGCGTCGGCGCCGCCCGCCAGCCCTGCCATGGTGGCCAGGTAGCCGCAGTAGCCACCCATGGTCTCGATGATGAAGACGCGGCGCTTGGTCCCGGCCGCCGACTGCTTGATGCGGTCACAGGTCTGGGGACAAGGAGGGACGAGCTCAGGGGCACTTCAGTGCCAGGAGGACAGCGGGGCGGCTTGGGGGGCACCTACTGTGGTGATGGTGTTGAGGGCGGTGTCAGCGCCGATGCTGAAGTCGGAGCCGGGCACGTTGTTGGAGACGGTGGCGGGGATGACGCAGAGCGGGATGCAGAGCTCCTCGTACTTGGCGCGACCCTCCAAGAGCTCCAGGCTGCCCATGAAGGCCTGCGGGGGGATGGTGACAGGGAGGCTGGTGACACCAGGTCCTGGTGCTGCCCCTGTGTGAGCGGCGCCGCCCGCCCCGTGCTCACCTCGAAGCCGCCGATGATGATGAGCCCGTGGATGCCGAAGTTGTTGATGGTTGCGCTGATTTCCTCAAAGTATTTCTTGGGCAAAGTCCTGGTGGGAGCAGCAGGAGTTCTGGAGCACGGCCCAGGCCCCGGTGCCCCTTTTTCCCCTGGATTGGGACATGGCTGAAAGCACCTGCCTGGCATGGGGTGTTTCCAACCACGCGGACAATTTTACCTCTTTGTCCCCAGTTTGGAGCCACCGAGGCCGGTCCAGCCACCCACTTTGTCCCAGCTGATCTCTTCCACCTGGGAGGAAGCAGAAACGCAGTGGTTGGATGGACAGCAACGCCACCCCAGCACCCGTGAGGCCGGGGCGGGCCAGATAAATTCCCAAGCGGAGCGAGATCCGTATGGATAAGGGGAACCTCGCCAAGGAAGGTACCATGCCCGAAGCGAACCCCTCGAAGCCGTCGTGCACCGCCAGCATGCGGTGGCCGTGGATGAGGCCGATCCTGACGGTGGAGCGCACGGCCGCGTTCATGCCGGCAGCCGGCGCGCCCACGTTCATCACGGCCAGCGTGTAGCCGCTCTGTGGGGACAAACGGCGCCTTGGGGACAGGGACCGGCGGCGGCGGCAGCGCGCGCCAGCCCGTGCCCAGCTCTACCTTGGTGGGCGGCGGGCGGATGTGCGCCAGCAGCTTGTACACGTTCCAGTTGTTCTGGAAACTCCTGCGGGATGAGACGGGAGTGAGGGGGGCCCGGCGTGGGCGGCGCCCGTCACCCCGCCTGGCCCGCACGGGCGCTCACCGTCCCCGCAGCTTGAGGGCGTCGTCGAAGCGGCCCTCGTTCATGGCTGTTGTCACATCTTTGGTCTGCGGGAGGACAGGGCCGGTTCAGGAGCTGTTTGCCCGGGAGCGTTGGGTGCCGCGGGATGGCGCCCGGTGCCTGTCGCCGTACTCACCACCTGCACGCACTCCATGAGGGGCAGGCGCACGGCCTGGTTCCCCGAGAGGCTCACGACGCAGGCCGGCGTGTCCGGCGTCCCCTCCAGCAGCGCCATGACGGCCTCGACGCCCATGCGGCTCCCCTGGCACGCGGGGACACGCCGGGGCCGTCACCGCTCGGCCCGAGGCGCCGTGCGGGGAGGCCGCGGCGGGAGCCGGCGGCGAGGGGGGCTCCTACCAGGATGCGGTCAAAGGCGGAGGGCGTCCCGCCGCGCTGCACGTGGCCCAGGATGGTGACCCGCGTGTCGTAGCCCAGGCGCTTCACCACGAGCTGCAGGACACGACGAGACGTTTGGCGCCATTGGGGACAGTCCCGTGGCAGAGCGGGGACCCTCCCCGGGTGGGAGGACGGGGCTCCCCGGAGTCCCCCCTGTCCCTCTTACGTTCTTGATGTCGTCGGCGGTGATGGCTTTGCCGTGGCGGTCGATGGCACCTTCAGCCACGATGATGATGTTGAGCCTGGAGCCCCCGAGCCTGGTCTGGGGTGGAGAGTTGGCACCATGGGAAGGGGGTCACCGTGGCAGACTGGAGAATCCCCTGGGGTCCGCCTCACCGAGGGGCACCCGTTTGTTACCTCCGTGAGGCGCCGGCACAGATGATCCTCCCAGTCGTCCTCGGGAGGAGATTCGGGGATGAAGACCCAGTCGGCGCCGCAGGCCAGGGAGGTGACGAGAGCCAGGTAGCTGCGGGCACAGGCGGGGCCTTTCGGGGCCTTTTCCCCCAAATCCATCGTTTCGGCAGCAGCATCCGAGCGGCCCCCCCAGCCTTACCCGCAGTGACGGCCCATGACCTCCAGCACGAACGTCCTCTGGTGGCTGTGGGGGACACGGCGGAGCGTCAGTCCCGGCGGGGAGCCGGCCCGGATGCCGGGGCCCCCCGCGGGCGCCGGTACCTCTGCGCGGTGGTGGTGATGGCGTCCACGATCTCCATGATGCGGTGCAGCGCCGAGTCAGTGCCGATGGTCATGTCGGTGCCGCAGAAGTCGTTGTCAATGGAGCCCACCATGCCCACGATGTTGAGGTAGCTGGAGCTCTTGGCCTCCTCCGCCGTGATCCCCCCTGCGAGGAGGAGGCGGGAGAGGGGGCTGCAGCTTTGGCCGTGGGAGACACGGCACAAAGAGGGGCGCGATGTGTGATGCCACCCGCTCCCATCGCCCTGGCTGCGTTTGCTGAGGGGAGACGGCTGCGGAGCAGCGGGAATCTCAGCAGCAGGGCCCAAAACCAACCCGCAGACGGGAAAAACATCCCGGAATACGGCCCTTTGCGGGCATTTTTGCCCGGCACCCTACCCGTCTTGAGCAGCTCGGCCAGGAGGCTGCTCCACTCGGCCCGGAAGGTGTCGGCCCCGGTGAGGCTGCCGTCGCCGCCGATGACGCACAGGTTGGTGATGCCGCGTTTCACCAGGTTGCGGGCGGCCTTCAGGCGGCCCTCGCGCGTGCGGAAGTCCTGGCAGCGGGCGCTGCCGATGACCGTGCCGCCCTGTGAGGGCAAGAAGGTGGGTCCCCATCACCCTGGATCCCTCCCCGGCCCTTTTATTCCCGCGGGATGTCTCTCCTGGAGCTCTCCTTTCTGCAGTGTGCGCCCTGGTGCTGGGGTTGGGGGCAGAGCACCCTGCTTTGGGTGTTTGGGGTGCTTGGGGTTCCTGTGGGTGCCTGCGGCCCCCTCAGTGGCCACGCGGCTCCAGCTGGGGGTTGTTTATGAAACCGGAGCCGCCAGCTCCGATTTCGCGTTATTTTGGGGTTCGGACCTTCGCTCTGACCCCGGCCCCGCAGCGTCCGGTTACGCGCCAAGGAAAAGGTCAGGGCGCCGCCGCGCCGCCCTCCCCGGCAGCGCCGTGACCTTCTCGCCGCCGCCAGCCCCGCGGCACCGGCCGCCCGGGCTCACCAGCTGCAGCATCATGGACACGCACTCCCACGAGGCCTCCTTGATGTTCTCCCCTCCATCCACCAGCCCTTGGTAGCCCTAGGGACAAAGCCGGAGCTTGAGGCTTCCCTGTGCATCCCGCTTCCAGGAGCGGCCCGTGCTCCGCCGCGGTCCCCACCTCATGCACGAAGTAGACCTTGGTGCCCAGGGAGATGCCAACGCGCACGACGGCGCGCACGGCCGCATTCATTCCTGCCGGGAAAGCCGAGCGTCAGCGGGAAGGAATGGAATGGAAAGACACAGAAGGGAAAGGTGCAGAGCCCGGCGGCGTTTTCCCAGAGCGTCCCCATCTCCCGCCACATCAGTGCCCAAGGGGGAGCCGCGGCGGGATGCCGGCTCCGAGGGAGCGGCGCCATCGGCAGCGCGTGGGCTCCGGCTTCCCCGGCTCCGAGTTATTTTTGCGCCGCTGACATTTAGCTCGGCCGGTAACCGGAGCCGCTCGCGCTCATGTGACGCCTCCGCGGCCGGCGACCGACACAACTCGTGTCACGCCAGCCCGGCGCTGTCACCGAGGCGCTGCTGACGAAGCCAAGACACCCCGAGCGCTCCGTGCGGAGCTCCCAGCGGAGCAAAGCCCAACGTTCCCTCTGGAAACGCTCCCTTGCGGCATTCGCTCCTGCCCCGGCTCAGATAAGCGGGGTCAGGGGGTTTTTGCCTTGTTCTGACCTCCCCTCCTTGCTTCTCCCAGTATTTTTTCCTCCTCCTTAGGAAAAAAAAGAAAAAAAGAAAAGGGAAACGAAGGCAAGGCTCCCTCCCAACCTTGGACAGGGGGGACGTTCCCCTCACCTGCCCACACTGCCCTTGCCTGCCCATAATCCCACCTTTCCAGGCCCCTTTTCCTCGTGTTTCCCATGCTTTGGAAACAGTTTATTCCTAGCTGCAGGAATGCGAGGCTCCGGCTGCTGATCCGCTGCTTTCCCAGCACACAGAGTAACGCTCCCACGTGCCGATTATCCCAAAGAAACGCCTAAACCCCCCCTGGATTCCCAAAAAGCCGCTCGAGCCGTGAACCCCCGAGGCAGCCGCGCAGCAGGAGACTGGGGTGCGGACCCCCCCTTTTCCCAGGGGCTATTTGCGGAGAATGTGGAGAATCCAGCCTTACCCTGGGCATCCCCTCCGGACGTGAGCACCGCGATGGCCTTCCCGGCGCCCAGCCGCTCGGCACCGCCGGGCGTTTTGGACGGCTGTGCCATCTTCCGCGCTGGAAAAAGGAAAAAGACACCACCCAAAATAAAGGGAAGGAGCGGGGGGAAAGCAGGAGGCGTCCGGCGCGCCGCGGCGCTCGCTCTGCGCGCTGGCCCGTGCCCGGCGCCCTTTCAAGGCTGGGGGGGGACGAGGTGCCAAATTGGGCGGCGGGAGGGAGGGCACCTGGTGACACCCCCGGGGGGGCGGGGGGACATCCGCTTGTTTGTCCCCAAGCCCGGACACCCTTGGGCCGAGGGGCTGGATCCTGCCATGCCGGTTTTTGGGAGCCAGCCGGGTCTTTGCGCACTCCACAGGGGGAGAAGCGCCACGTTTGGTGGGAACGTGTTGGGAAATAGAGGCAGCGGGAGCCTTCGTTCCCGTGTCTGTGTTTGCTCCCTCCTTTTTGCTTATTCCTCCTCTTTTTTGCCCATTCCTTGCCTTTTTCCTTACTCCCTTTCCTTTCCTTTCTCCCATTCCCCTAGTCCCATTTCCCCACTCATTCCAGTTCCATTTCCCCATTGGTTCTAGTCAAATTTTCCTACTGGTTCTTGTCCCATTTCCCTGCCAGTTCCACCCCATTTCCCTGCTGTTTCCAGTCCCATTTCCCTGCCGGTTCTAGTCCCTTCTCCCTGCAGTTTCCAGACCCTTTTCCCCGCAGTTTCCAGCCCTGCTTCCTTGCCAGTTCCAGCCCTATTTCCTTGCCAGTTCCAGCCCTATTTCCTTGCCAGTTCCAGACCTATTTCCCTGCTGTTTCCAGTCCCATTTCCCTGCTGGTTCTAGTCCCTTTTCTCTGCAGTTTTCAGACCCTTTTCCTTGCCGGTTCCAGCCCCATTTCCCCGCAGTTTCCAGCCCCACTTCCCTGCCATTTCCAGCCCTATTTCCCTTCCAGTTCCAGCCCCATTTCCCTGCCGGTTCCCGTGCAGGCCCCCGCACTCGCCTGGCGGGTCCGCACCCTTCGGAGCGAAGGGGAAGAAGGTGAGGAAGAGGAAGATGGCGGCGAAGGTGAGCGATGCCGACAAGAGGAGCTTGGAGGCCTCCAGGGAAAACTCTGGGAAAGCCCCCATGGCCGGGGGACGGCTGTAACGGGATCAGCTGTAACGGGATCGCCTGTGCGGGAACCATCTGTAACAGGATCGGCGGTGCAGGGATCGGTGGTGCCGGGACCGCCCGGGCAGGGACCGCCTGTCCGGGGACGGGCTGTGCCGCGTGCGGCTGTCATGGGATCGGCTGTAACGGGAGCGGCTGTCACAGGACCGCCTGTAACGGGGCCATGTTAAAACAACCACTTGGGACCTGTAAGGGGACCCCCCCAGCCGGGGCTCTGGGGGTGACACCCCCTCCACAGGGTGTCCCCTGCGTGGGGTGACACCCGTACAGTGACACCCCATGGGGTGACAGTGCCCTGTAGGATGATGCTGCCCTCAGGATGGGCCCCATAGGGGGACACCCCCCCACAGGGGAGCCCCCTCCCCGCCATGGGGTTCCCCCCCCCTAGATTCACTGCCCCCCAGGGTGCCCCATAGGGGTGACCCCCTTTTGGGCTGCCCCATGGGGTCCCCCCATAGGTTCCCCCCCGCACACAACATCTCTCCCCACAGGATGCCCCCCCCATAGAATGGGTCCCTCCATACGGTACCCCCCCCTTGAGTGACTTCCCTCATAGGGGCAGTTCCCCCCACGCTGCCCCCCATAGGGTGCCCCCCATACGTTAATGTCCCCCACAGGGTGCCCCC